ATAAATTCTGTGAAATAAATAAATAAATACATGTCTTTTTTCATTTTTGTTTAATATAATCATCATGCTTGTTGTTTTTAAACTCCACAAGTGTTGTTGTAATACTCTTCTTTCATTTGTAAGTTTTGATTGGAAACAAAGAGCTTAAATACTTGAAGTGGCCAACAGAAAATTGTCAAACCAGGATTTTTTCTTAGTGGTATCTACAGCCAAGTGAGCTCTCCCATTGGTTAGGACTTTAGTTAGGACTTTAGAGTTGAACTGAAGGTCTTACACATTAAACTCACTGCAAAAGTAAACTTACTTTGATTTACTTATGGAGAAAAACTGTTTAATTACTGTAAATAGAGTAGTTCCTACCCAGGCACGTCATGATCATTAAATGTTAGGTGACAATTAATTGGCATATAAATACAGGATTAATAATTTAATTGCTTTATTAAGATTAAGTGAACCTTTTTAGTCCCGCAACAGGGAAATTTCACCTCCGCATTTAACCAATCCGTGCAGTGAAACACCACATACACACTAGTGAACACACAGACACTAGTGGGCAGTCCTATCCACAGCACCCAGGGAGCAGTTGGGGGTTAGGTGCCTTGCTCAAGGGCACTTCAGTCATGTACTTTTGGCTCAGGGGATCAAACCAGCCACCTTCTAGTCACAAGGCTGGTTCCCTAACCTCCAGCCCACGACTTAGAGCTGTTTATGCAACAACTCCAAGCCAAAAGTGGCCAAATTGGCTGATTATCTTTCTCCCTAGCTGTTAATACTTATTGATTCCAACTGACGACAGAAACAGCTTGAGTTCAAATAAACAAACATTCAGTACTTTCCAAAAGTCAGAGACCAACCAACTTCTAAGACGGAACTTTGAAGGTATGGAATAAGAATGGAAACTGTAATGAAAGCAAAGAGTGGACACAATAAATACTGACATAATTAGATACTATACTTAATTATTCTGTGGATTTTCTGTTACATATGTTATTTTTTATATTTTTTATATTGACTGATGCGGAAATATTAGTAATCTGTACTCAACAGCTGTTTTGAAAGAAAATGAAATAAATTAATAAATGACTTTTGCACAGTACTGTTACTTGGTAGACCCGTACACAACTACACTGGTCAGAAGTTTTGCTGTTATGGTAAGATCAGAAATGCTTTTTCTGCTTACTTTTATTTACATTCATTTGCCGAAAACACCCAATTCATGTTCCATTTGTTCTGGTGTAAACATCTGATTGAAGCAAACAACTGTAGAAAAAACTGCGATCAGCTCAAATAATTGGAATGAAATTTGTCATAATAACAGTGACAGGCCGGTTTCCACCTCTGGTAAGCAAACCCCTCTCAGTTTCTCTCTTCTTGTTCTTTCTGTGACACTAATGCAGCGTCTATGTCCACTTTCAAAGTAATGATTGCATTACTTCAAGCTTCTGTCTGGACAAACTATCAGATTACAGCTCCGCTCCTGTGCGCCGGTCCGTCTCCCTCTGAAGACTGGCTTTCTTTCCACACTAGAGAGAGAGAGAAAGGAGGCAGAGAAGCCACGTTAGTCCGTGATTGATTGCGTGCGTGCTTTTTTCTGCTTTGCTTCTCAACCCCACCACCACCCCCCCCGAAGTTACTGATGAGCTGGGAGTGCTATTATTTAATAGCGCACATGTGGATTGAATTGCTAAAGCATAGCATCTCGAGTAATTTGATTTCCCAGAATGTTGACAGCCGAAGAGAAGAGTGTTTTCCATCTGTTCCCTCTTCCTAACACGGTCGCCGTTTACAAAAGGACAGAGAAGCAACCACTGGACGGGCCTTTCTGGGCCTGGTGCTGAACAGAAGCGCCACTAGCCGTTGGGTCGGGCTTTCTTCATTTACAGTTCAAGTGCTTTTATGGGTGCGTTGTGTCCTGCAGAGATGGAAAATGCCCATTTAAAGGAGGTGAGTTAAAGAGAAGTTTTCCACCATGCATGCTGCATGTGTAACACAGACGCAGATTAGTTATCGGCTTACTGAAACAGACATGGATCACCTCAGGCCATCATGATTTAAGCATGCAGCTTGTTTAGAAAAAGAAATTCATGTCACATGGAGGGAAATTCATGATTCCTGAGTCATATACAGACGTAGGGAAAGCCACCCAAACTCATCCTCCAGTAATAATATTAGTACAGTGAAATAACGGCCAGTCGTGGACTGGAGGTTAGGGAACCAGCCTTGTGACCGGAAGGTCGCCGGTTCGATCCCCTGAGCCGACGGTACATGACTGAGGTGCCCTTGAGCAAGACACCTAACCCCCAACTGCTCCCCGGGTGCTGTGGATAGGGCTGCCCACCACTCTGGGCAAGTGTTCTCACTGCCCCCTAGTGTGTGTGTTCACTAGTGTGTATGTGGTGTTTCACTGCACGGATGGGTTAAATGCGGAGGTGAAATTTCCCCATTATGGGACTAATAAGAGTCACTTAATGACAGCAGTAAAAGTCTATTTCCACAAAATAAGTAGCAGCTCAAAAACTACTCAGAGCAATAATTTAGTGAAAAAATCAAATTTACCAAATTCTCCACTGACCCCAAATGGATTTGATTGGCCGAGACACATTTGGAGTTCAAAATTTGCTTTTGTTTACAACTGGAGCTGCGAGGCTAACATTGCTAACAAACACTAAAACTCAATAGTCACCCAAACAGACCAAACCATTTCTGTAAAAAATACATCCTCAAAACTTCTCTCAAACCACATCCAGGTCTTCTTTAAGGTTGCACAGACTTGTCAATGTGGTTTAAGACACAGCATGACTTAAGCCTGATTCACACACGCTACCTACTGCTACAGCTCACACACGCTGGCCTTTCATACATACAGTGTTTCTTGCTGCTTTGCTCTGCAGCATAAAGTTATACAGTCATCCTTGATCCTAACGGATAGTCTGATCAGTCACTCTGCCCAATAAAAGTAAAACTTCTAAAAGAGCGTAATACATTTGTTTAACCTCAACAGCAATCTGACTTGAGATCAGGCAAAAGAAAAGCCTGGTAAAACCACCTGGGGAATCTGTGTGCTGCACTGAATGTTTAACTAGTATTTCTTTTAAACAACATTCATGAATTAAATGAAATAAAATAAAAATTGTCTTTAATTTTTTATTTGGTTTTCTATTCATTTTTATTGATTTTCATGGCTTATTTCAGTGTCTTTTACTGCTTGGTGTGAATATCTCATCAATGATCTCTATAAGTAACGCTTTAGCGACTGGATCACCTGTCAGATACCAAGAGGTTTTACTGAACTGGGAAAATCTGCTTTTAGCTATAGAGCACCAGTGAGCTGGAATTAATTGATTCATTAATTTATTATTAATAATAATTATTATTAACACATTTTATTTTAATATTTTATTGCAACTGTTTTATTTAATGTTAATTCTTTTACTGTTCTCTTCTAGTAAATAATTAGATTTTTCTGAAGTTTTAGTTTTCTTATTGCTTACTACTAAGTTGGTTCTCTTACTTAATTTTAACGTGTTTTCATTACATATTTTATAGATGTTTTATGTTTTCTATTTGAGCTGTTATTTTTAAAAATATATAAATTTCTTGATTTATTTCTTATTATAAATCTTTTTGTCTTGATTTTCATTTGTTTAAGTTGGTAAATTTTATTTCAAATTTTTCAATTCCTTGTAATTTGCTTGGCTATCCGAGTCCAAGGCCCAATCCCATTTCACCACTCGCCCCTACCACTAAGCTCTACCCCTCCATTTTGCCTGTTCATGTCTAGGGGTAGGGTGTCCTGATTCTTGTTGAGATAGACCATGATCATTATATTATCTTAGTTTAATGTCTTTTCAATGTATTATGGTCCTTTTCTTCATAACAAGTATTAAAAATTGCTAGTAATATGCTATCTCGGTAGCTAGCTGGCTAAATTACCCGTTCCTCCTTAAATAGCGATGCTCCAAAATGTAACTGGTGCTCCATTTAAGGTGGAACGGGAAAATTTGAACGATAAGCTGGTGAATAGCTGACTTCAACTTCATATCATATAAGACTTAGAGGTGGGTGATAATAAATAATTGCCCCCCTCTTTGAAGGCATATGATGCCCTAAATGTAACTAAAGCCCAGCAGTGAGGAGCTGAACTTTACCCTCCTCTGCTGTCACTGCAGACTGGCAGGGTCGCCTACAGAGCAGCGCTGGTAGCTGTTAATGAAGTAATGCTCTTTTTATTTGAGGGTCCCATTTCGTAGGGAAGATTTCACCCACTACCTCTGTAACTCAGTTCTAAGGGGCAAGGTGACACTCGAAAACAAGGGGTAGGGGTAAAAATAAGAAATGGGATTGGGCCCAAGTTTCTCTACAGTGAGCCATTTCAGATTAACCACTTTGAATGATTTTGTTTACATCTCAGTGACTGAAATTTAGAAAAATTGGCGGAATTGTCCTTTAAGCAAGCAGTTTGCTTAGGAGGGAAAGCGCTGGAAGAAAGCAGCAGATTATATATGTAGAGCACTTTTCCACTATGTACACTACATATGTAGTGCAGATGCGCAAACACAGATTAGTTATCAGTACATTGAAGGAGACAGCTGTTTATCAGCCAGGGGGCATCGCTGTTTAAACAAGCAGTCTGTTCAAAACGGGAATAAAATGTGCTGTTTTGGAGGAAAAAAATGCTTCCTCAAAGAAAACAATAATAAACAATGACGCAAATGCAGTGAGCGAGCGCAATTACGCTGTAATGAAGGAAAGTGACCAAGAACCCTTTGCGCCCCTGTTAGAAGAGTTACGGTAGCAAAACTTCCAGCCTCCCCCCCTTAGGAAGTCTCAGGCAATTAGTTTGCTCGGTCAGAAGGAGCTCGCAGTCAGTCGCTCCGGAGTCCTCCAATGCCCAAACCCCCTCCTTCTCCACCTCCTCCTCCCCCTTCCTGTACACCGATCTGCGGGACTCTGCTCTGGGTTGGTTGGCTGAGCCGTGCGGCCAAAGTGGGCGAAGCGCCATGGGCTTCGAGCTGGACCGCTTCACGGGCGCCGTGGACCCGGACCTGAAGTGCAACCTGTGCCACAAAGTGCTGGAGGAGCCGCTGACCACGCCGTGCGGCCACGTCTTCTGCGCGGGCTGCGTGCTGCCGTGGGTGGCGCAGCGGAGCAGCTGTCCGGCGCGCTGCCGCCGCGTCTCGGCCGCCGAGCTGCACCACGTGCCGCCGCTCAAGAGCCTCGTGCTGAAGCTGGCCACGCGCTGCGAGCACAGCGCGCGGGGCTGCGCCGCCGTGGTGCCCCTGCAGCGGCTGGCCGAGCACGCCGAGACGTGCGAGTTCGCGCCGGCCTCGTGCCGCCACCGCGGCTGCGGCCAGGTGCTGAACGCGCGCGACGTGGACGCGCACATGCGCGAGCAGTGCGAGCACCGGCCGGCGGGCGCGTGCGAGCGCGAGCGCGGCTGCGGCCTGGTGCTGACCCAGCGCGAGCGCGCACTCGGCGCCCACTGCTGCGTGCAGGCGCTCAAGGCGCACGGCGGCGCGCTCCAGGCCAAGGTGGACGGCCTGGGCAAGGAGCTGAAGAGGCAGGCGCTCCGGGCGAGCAAGCGCGAGAAAGCGCTGCTCGCGCGCCTGGCCGCCGCGCACAGCGAGCTGCAGGTGACCGCGCTGCGCTACCAGAAGAAGTTCACCGAATACAGCGCGCGGATCGAGTCGCTCAGCAGGTCCATCGCGGCGCCGTGCAAGGTAGGAGCGCTGGGGTGCTGGAGGAAGGCTGGGGTGGTGATGTCAGTGGCTCTCAGTAGCTCTCACAAGGGCAGAACTCGATCCGTGTCTTGTTTTTCTCTAGTGAAGTGGATGCTGTAAAGCTCTCAGCCGAAATGAGTTTTTGGGAAGTGCTGTAGTTTTCAGCCCTGGCTCTGCTGAGTTTTTGGAAGTTTATGTTATTAGCTTTCAGCCTTGGCTGTGGGAAGTTTTTGCGAGATAGGACTCTGACCACATTACTGCAAGGTGAGTTTATATGAGGAGCTCTCAGTCATGACCACATTAAGTGTTTAGAAATGGGGTAAATGTTGTAAAACTCTCAGCCCAAACTATGTTAAGGCTTTGGAAGTTGGGCTGATGTTGTGTAGCCCAAACTACTAACCACATTAACTTTTTTGAAAAGTTGAGTTTGTATTAGTAGCTTTTGGTCCTGAACATGTCAAGTTTTTAGCAGTTGTAAAGCTCTCAGTCCAAACTATGTAAAGGCTTTGGAAGTTGAGCTGATGTTGTGCAGTCCTCACTACTGTAGGTCAAAACTCAAGCCATGTCATGTTTTTAGAAGTTGGCTGGATGCTGTGAAGCTCGCAGCCCAAACTGTGTGAAGTTCTTGGAAGTTCTGCAAAGTAGGACCCAAACTATGTTGAGTTTCTGAGAAGTGCTTTAGCTTTCAGACCTGACTTTGCTGAATTTTTGGGTACTAAGTTTATGTTAGTAGCTTTCAGGCCCGACTATGTCAAGTTTTCTGTGAGATAGGACTCTGACCACATTCTTGGAAGGTGAGTTTATATGAGGAGCTCTCAGTCATGACCACATTAAGTGTTTAGAAATGGGGTAAATGTTGTAAAACTCTCAGCCCAAACTCTGTGAAATCTTTGGAGGTTCGGCTGATGTTGTGTAGCCCTCACTGCTGTTGGTCAGACCTCAAGTCATGTTGTGTTTGCAGAAGTTGAGAAGATGTTGTAAAGCTCTCAGCCCGAACTGTGTACTATGTGTAGTTTTTGGAAATTCTGCGAGATAAGACCCTGACCATATTAATTTTTTATATTAGTAGCTTTTTGTCCTGAACATGTCAAGTTTTTAGAAGTTGAGTAGATGTTGTAAAACTGTCAACTCAAACTGTGTGAAGTCTCTGGAAGTTGAGCTGATGTTATGCAGCCCTCACTACTGAAGGGCAGGACTCAAGCCATGTCATGTTTTCAGAAGTTGGGTAGATGTTTCGAAGCTCTCAGCCCAAACTATGTACCATGTGTAGTTTTTGGAAATTCTGCAAAACAGGACCCTAACCAGATTAACTTCTTTTGAAAAGTTGAGTTTGTATTAGTAGCTTTTTGAGTAGCTTTTTGTCCTGAACATGTCAAGTTTTTAGACGTTGTGAAGCTCTCAGCCCAAACTATGTGAAGTCTTAAGAAGGTGACCTGATGTTATGTAGCCCTCACTACTGAAGGGAAGGACTCAAGCCATGTCATGTTGGGTAGATGTTATGAATCTCTCAGCGTAAACTATGTGAATTCTTTGGAAGTTGAGCTGATGTTGTGCAGTCCTCACTACTGTAGGTCAAAACTCAAGCCATGTCATGTTTTTAGAAGTTGGCTGGATGCTGTGAAGCTCGCAGCCCAAACTGTGTGAAGTTCTTGGAAGTTCTGCAAAGTAGGACCCAAACCATGATGAGTTTCTGAGAAGTGCTTTAGCCTTTAGCCCTGACTTTGTTGAATTTTTGGGTACTAAGTTTATGTTATTAGCTTTCAGGCCCGACTATGTCAAGTTTTTTGTGAGATAGGACTCTGACCACATTCTTGGAAGGTGAGTTTATATGAGGAGCTCTCAGTCATGACCACATTAAGTGTTTAGAAATGGGGTAAATGTTGTAAAACTCTCAGCCCAAACTCTGTGAATTCTTTGGAAGCTGAGCTGATGTTGTGTAGCCCTCATTACTGAAGGTCAGCACTCAAGTCATGTCATGTTTTCAGAGGTTAGGTAGATGTTGTAAAGCTCTCAGTTCTAACAATGTCAAGTTTTTGGAAATTCTGCAAAGTAGGACCCAAACTATGTTGAGTTTCCTGGGAAACTGTGTAGATGGTGTGTAGTTTTCATCCCTAACCATGTTGAACTTGTGGAAGGTTGATGTTCTACAGCTTCCATTTTTTGACGTTTTAGGAAGTTCCATATATATTTGTGTAGTTCTCAGCTCTGCAAGGTAGAACTCCAGCCATGTAAAGTTTTTGGAAGTTGAGATGGGAGGTTAAGTTGCAGCTCTCAGCTCTGCAACACAGGACCCAAGCTGTGTTAAGGTACTGGGAGGTTGGTTAGACATTGTAGAGCTATGCAGTGTTACCCCCAGCTTCCCAAAAGCTTGACATGGTTAGAACTGAGAGTAGACAAGTTGGGTTGATGTGTAGCATTCACTCTCAACTAGAGGTGGGCAATATGACAAAATATGACATCATAATACTTCAAGACGTGATATTTCATTTTTCTGAAGTTTAAAAAGAACCAGTAGTGCTGCATTCAAAATATACTATCACAAACTATAAGTATAGTGATTGTTATTCAGTGTTTCACATTCTGCAGTGCACTAAATCAAGTAAAATCATGCTGTCTCTGTAGTGAAACATGCAGTAAATGCTGTTGAAATACTGACAATATCCACAATATGCTCAGAAAACCAGACTTTGACATAATGTGACATAATTTATCATGATAACGATACTCATATTGCCCACCCTTAACCCCTAGTTTCTGGAAATGTTAATAGCTCTGAGCTCTACACGCGTCGTGTTAGGAAGCTGGCGTGAAGTCGTGTAGCTCTCACCTTTAACTGTATTGAGTTTTTGGAAGTCAGGTTGATATTATGTGTCTTCAACCCCTAAATACTTTGTAATCTTACTACTGTATAAAAGAAAACTTGTTCATGTGCAGCTCTCAGCCCTCACTTTTTGGAAGCTGGGTTGATGTTGTTCTCCTGCAGTCTTCTGGTTATGATTAACTTTATTCAACAGCAGATTTTTGGTGCTCAGCTTTCATTCCTCTTTGGGTTCCAGCTTTGCTTTTAACACCTCGCGCACGCTGAGGGGCCTGTGGTTGCGTGTTCTAGATCATTTTCACGGTGCAGAAGTTGAGTTGCCTGCACGGTGTTGAAATTCTTGTGGCCTGCTTTGACTTTGTAGACCCCCGTACCTTTATTTACGTGCCTTCCAACTGAATAACTAAGAGAAACTAGGCCAAGTGGACAGAGAGGGGATTTTTTGTTCTGTCTCTGCTCCTCATCCAGCCTTGAGACATGTCTGTCAGCTGCAGTTTTAGCCACCTGGCAGTCTGAGGGGGAGGGCTGAATGTTTATTAATCTGTAGCCTGCAGGCCGCAAGACGCCAGCAGCAAATTACCCTCATGAGTTTCTCTGCTGCACTTCAGTTTATGGAGTTTCTGCGTGGGTGCATTAAAACATCACAAGTGATGATTTAGACTTAATGGAAATCAGAGCAGGTCTGGATTTTTGTGAAAAAACCTGACGTTCTTAAGAAGGTGACTGTTTTAATGTGTTCATTTCAAATGTAGTTAGTTAGTTGTGTTCTGTTGTGGTAAAACTTTTGCTGAAGGGGTTTGCCACATTTTGGACGCATTTGGTGGAGCACAGTTCTGGTGGGAAAAAGTTTTGGCTGCAGAAAAGTCTCTTTTTTACTTGCGTATGTGAAATCTTGATTTGTTTTCGTGCTTCTTTAGGACCTTCCTTTACATTTAAAAGACACCAGAAAATCTTTTCAGTCTGATTTCTTAATTATTGCTAAAGTATCTATGAACTAAGCAGTAAGTAATTAAGTTGTACTAAAGTAAGAATCCATAAATTCTCAAAATTTCTCATTATAAATACTATGTTTTTAAAGTGTAATCGTTTACTACAGGTAAATCTACTGTACTTCAACTCTGCTACATAACATGTAATCAGATTTCTCAGTGCATGTGAACTCTTGCTCTGATTTCTTTTGGATTTCTCAGTCTGTGCATGTGTGAAAACAGACAGCGGTACCGGAAGTTAGTGAGCAGCGTCACCACGAGACGCAGCAAAACACTTTTGGAGTGACGCTGAAACCAAATACCTGCTTGATGAAATGAAGGATTTAAATATTCATCATCTTTTAGATGCTGTATGTTCATATTTTCTGGTAAAGTGGTGCGATGTTTAAAAAAAAAAAAAGCTGCATTATGAAGTTTGAGTTTTACGTCATGTTGTCTTCTGTGAGTTTATTGGCTGGTTGCAAAGCAGAAATCTGATTACTGTCTGACTTATGTAGACCTGGAGCTTCCCCATTATCTGATTACTCAAGTGCATGTAAACGTGTTGATCGGATTACTGACAAAATCTGATTTTCTGCAGTTATCAGATTATTAAGTGCATGTAAATAACTGTTCCATAAACATGTCAGATATCATTAGCTGTCATGACAGATTTTGTTCAGTGAGATAACAGTGTAGATACTGGTGATTGTCATGACAGATGCCATAATATTTGATATTGTAGCAGGAGAACTCAGAGGGACTAGTGATTGTATCAGCCAATCAGAAGCCAGCACCCTGTTCTTATATATATACACAGTGCAGTGGGTCAGTATTAACGACTTCTCGCAGGCTGCAGTACTGAACCCATCAGCGTAATTCGAGTGCACTAAAGAGTGTAAATGAGTCTAAACGGTACCCAAACGACACCCGCTTTGTTGTGTGACCTATCTACCCGTGCCATTTCTCCACACTCTCTCAAGAAAGGGCAGTTTACAAGCCCCAGAGCAGCAAGGAAAGCGAGTAGAGCAAGCTAGATGCCAGCCTAGTGGCTACCGGGGTGCGAACATTAGCCCTGTAGGAGAGCAGAGTAAAGAGAAACATGCTAATTCTTGCAAGTTCTCTAAGTGCTCTAATTAGCCGTCATGACATCAAACTGAGAGAGTTCTTTCCATCATGAAAGTTTTCTTCAGATGGACGGAAAATGTGCTGTAGATGGTTCTATATGGAAACTTTTTGAAAAGGGTTCTTCTATTATGATGTCAAGCTTGTAACAACAGAAGAACTCCTTTGGGTGCTGTATAGCAGGGCTTCTCAACCTGTGGGCTGCAAAGCACTCTCTAGTGGTCCATGGGCCTGAACTCGCAGGGAGGAGTAGTTCGTAGTGGGCCGGCAGAGACGTATACACAAAAACACCGCAGTCACAGCCGCCGGCGCGCAGTGCAGTTAGCCAGAGATGGAGAGGTTCCTCGCTGCGTTTCTCCTACCTTGTTCAGTGCGGACCTATCAAACTTTTTACTTTAGTTTGCTCCGTTTTGATATGTGTGAAGACTCCACCTGTATTCGGGTCTGAAATTAACAGCTGAAACCCGCGGGTCTCTGTCCGCTTCCAACCGAACCCTGTTCCGCTCACTGCTGGTGGGAACGCGTTTTATGATGAAACGAGGGAATTCATCAGTAGAGCTGGCTTTCCTCTTCTTCTAGCAGCACTTCAGCGCTGTACTGTCAGTACAATCTGCCTGTTTTACCATCTGACTTATTGCTCTAATGTCATTCCTGCAGCTCGAGCTGCAGCTGATAAAAACGACAGGCGAGCAGTAAAATAATAGCGAAGATCTGTGTTTTGATTTCTGGCCGAACATCAGCGACCTGAGTAGTTAAACTACTCAATCAAGTAAGGTTTATTATTATTTTTGATCCAAAAGCGTGAGTGGAGTGAGGTTTATTTCATTAAGCAAAGAACCCTTTAATCATGCAGAGGGTTCTTTGAGTGTTCATGGTTCTATATAGAACCATTTTCTTTACTAAAGAGCCGTGAAGCACCATCTAAGAGTGTAGGGTTGGAACTGCACTTTGTAGGATCTCCAGGAGCTGCTGACCACTTCTTGAGTGATTAAAGGAGTCTCGGGTACGATTTTCTCCTCTGGCGTGTCTGAGTTGGATCAGATTCTCTCCTCTGGAACAGAACATGGTGGTTAACTCTTATCCACTCGCTGATGTGTACAAAATCTTGAAGTATCCCTCGTAGCGAGAGGACGAGAGGGGTGCCCTGAGTGCTGTCTAAGAGGGAGCGAGTGGTCTGGTCAGGGAATGCGGTTCCTCTAGTTGTTCCCGCTGAATGCTCCCTCACGTGTCGCTATCCCGAAAGCCCACGTCTAGAGAAAGCGGCGCGATGATAGCGGGCTGTCATCTGCGAGATTGAGTCTGTCCACTTAACATGGGCTGTTGACCCAGCTGCTCCAGACGATGCTGTGACTGCGCCCCTCTTGGGTTTTTCAAGTAGACAGTGCAAGACGATGCAGCATCTACTCAAGCCAGACAGTTAGCCGTCAAGTGGGGGCTTTTGAGGCGGCCGCGTGCCTTTCCTCATGGGCTATTATGTTTGTGTCCTCTCAACAAATGAAATCTGGTCTTGAATGGTCGACAAACTGAACATCAGTGATGTACTCCATTCTCATTTTAGCACCCTCTTGGTTACCCATGGAATTATGGGACATATGACCTGCCCTAGGGAGCTGCATTCCACTGCTCTGCCTACAGTCAGCTAAGATGGTTGGCACTGTACATACCATTAATATCTGTATTATATTTAGGTGCCGTATCCTATGGCGCACAGAACTGACAGCTGACTCGCTAGTGCTGTTATGCTTCTAGAAAGAGGCGTTAAGACTCAGCTCTCGTCTCTGAGCTCTAGTCGCTCCGCTGTTGAGAGAGTCATTGCCTGCGTGTTTAATATTCTAACCTTTAAATCAGGAAAGACCGAGGCCTTAACCCTTTAAGCTAATGGTCAGTTCACAGCTCTTTTGCCCAACACTTTAAGCTGGGCAGAATTTCTTAATTTGTATGAGGTTTAGTCTGTGACAGGTGCATTTCTTCACTGTGAGCAGTTGTAGACCCTCTTTTGATTACTTAACACACATAATTCAAATTTTAGTGCACAATTTCTATGTTTTTGCTTCGGAGCCCTGCTGATATATAAATAAAATAACGTGTGGCCACGACTCAGTAAGGCACAGGAACGAGATAATTAAGTCATGGCCACTACTTAGTAAGACGTAGGGATGAGATCCTAATGCGTGGCCTTGACTTAGTAAGGCATGGGAACGAGATAATGCCATTGACATCCAGTATAAATAAAAATAACGCATGGCCACGACTTAGTAAGGCACGGAAACGAGATAATTAAGTTGTAGCCACTACTTAGTAAGACGTAGGGATGAGATCCTAATGCATGGCCTTGACTTAGTAAGGCACGGGAACAAGATAATTAACTTGTGGCCACTACTTAGTGAGGTGCGGGGACGAGATCCTAATGCGTGGCCTTGACTTAGTAAGGCATGGGAATGAGATAATTGACTCGTGGCCGCTACTTAGTAAGGTGTGGGGAAGAGATCCAAATGTGTGGCCGTGACTTAGTAAGGCACGGGAATGAGATAATTAACTTGTGGCCACTACTTAGTAAGGTGTGGGGACGAGATCCAAATGTGTGGCCATGACTTAGTAAGGCACGGGAACGAGATAATTAAGCCTTGACCACAGATTATTAAGGCATGATCTTGTTCCCACACCTTACTAAGTCAAGCATTGTTTATTTATTTATTTATTTATTTATTTTTGATTTTTCCCCAATTTAGTCATCCCATATTCCACCCGCTAGTTAAGACTCCCCCAATCACATGATACCACCAGCACTAGGAGGGCGAAGGCTAACACAGGCTTCTTCCGAGACCTGTGAAGCGTGACCGCTTCTTTTCGGACCGTCGCTCTTGCAATGTCATTGGACAGCTGAACGCACTTGGAGGAAAGCGCCAGACGCCTGCACTGACTAGCATCACGCCGAGTGATGGGGGGAGATCGGGGGCCATCCTGCCCACCCAGAGAAAGCGAGGCCATTTGTGCTCTCTTGGACTCCCGGCCATGGACGGCTGTAGCAACCAGGGATCGAACTCTCGATCTCCTGGTGACAGGGTCAACGCTTAGACAGTTGCGCCACTCAGGACTCGAAACAGAAAATATGAAATGCGCCTTAACTTTAATATCTATAAAAAGCAGCGTTTCTTGCTGCAGATGCATGTATTAAATCATTCTAATATGACGTTACTACCGTGTACGTTTCAGTTTGTTGGAAGCTGTGAAAATTAAGATATTTTTGACGATGAACGGAGCTGTTCTATAATAACCGAGAAAGCTGTCAAGCACTGAGCATGAACGTACAATAAAATTAATATCCAGCATCATATTCGAAAAGCAGTGACCACATCTCGCTTATCAAATTGCTCTTTTTTATTATTTCATGACAAAAATTACTATAAATAGTGCGGATTTAAACAATACAAGATGTGTTGTATCACATTCATGTTGTATCACGACTAGCATAAGCTTGTGGTTAGCTTCGGGCAGATTTTCAGCTGTATGAAAAAACGTATTGAATCCAGACACCATTGTATCGTCGCAGATCAAATTCAGAATTTTGTGTATCTTCATACTTCATTCTTGTTTATCCCAAAAAAAAATTAAATTGTGAATCAACCATCGTTTTATGTTTTGGTGTCTAGTTTATAACGTCAGTCCTCTAAGTCCTAAAGGTTCTGTTCAGGAACATTTTTCGTTCATCAAGGTACAAACAGTGTAAATGTTCCCTCAAAGGTCCAACAGTGGTTTTAAGGTCTGATTGTGAACCTTAAATAAGTTTTTCCAGGTGAAAAGTTTGTATTTGTACCTTTTCATAACCGAATGTTTTAAACAGAACAGTAAAATAAAAGCCTGGAGACGAGACGGGGTGTGTGGAGTCAGTACAGTTTAGAACATATAATCTCAATGGATTATGGGACAGATATGTTCCCTGACTAAAGGCACTGAGATGTACCCTTGAGGGTCCCACCCCAGTGACAAGAGGGGGACTGCCCCAGTGACAGTGGCGTACCTTTATTTCTGAGAGTGTATTAGTTATAACTTTAATTATTAGTTGACTATGATGCTAATTAAAATTCCATTTTGAACAAACATGCGGTGAAAGTGTTTTTCTCAGTTGTGTCATCTCTCTTCTTTTCAGGGTGGTGAGAACAAAAGTGTGGCGGTTATGCTCCACAGGGAGTCTGGATCTTTGGGCTTTAATATCGTTGGGGGAAGACCATGTATGGTAAGTCTACAGGAGATTAGCGCATTAGCTTTGTCACCAACACTTGATACGCCGTGCTATTATGTTGCTTAATTAGGTCTGATGGTGAAAAAGAACATTCTGTTCTGAGTCCTTTGCACGAACTCCACTATAATAGAGAATGAACAGATAAGAGATTGGAGCCTATTAGAAACAGGTGGCTGGACGCTTCCTCTAAATTCTAAAAACAGTACAGTTTCTCAGGGCTGGCAGGGAGCGTCAGCCTGGACGATGCCACAGTGTCCAGATTGGGGCCACTCTGCACTGTTATTGCTGCCTTTTTTGAAGTGGTAGTTATGGTAACCATATCAGCGAGAATGGGTACCGAAGCCTTTAATGAGTTTTGGTGAGGTTTGTCCAGAATAGAAGTGTGACGTACTTAATGACGTTGTTCTTGACTGGACCAGTGCAGTGAGAGTTTCAGGAAGCTCTAAAAAGACTTTAAACACAATGAGCTTGACCTAAATTGTGTTTGGTATTAGACTGAGTATTTTTTCACATGATGAAAAATATTCACAAATAACAGAAAAAGTGTAAAAAAAAAATAATAATAAATAATAAAATGATGTAATTCATTGTCTTGGTTGATCAGCTGTTCCGTGGCACATACTGCTGTCTACATACTGTAATATTATTTTATATAAACCTGATTTTACTTGACAAGTGTCATTCCAAAGTTCTGTATATCTTGTAACAACAGGAATTTTTTAAAAGTTTTTGGTAAAAAAAAAATACACGTTTTTATTTCTCTAATAATATGAATTCATAATATTGCATTGAGATTTTTTGTATGTTCACTCCCAACATCGAATATCATGAAAAAATAAAAATTCTTTAAAAATGGTCAGTCTAGTGCATTTTGGAGCAAAATCCTTCATATATGGTCAGCTTTTTTGCTTTTAGGCTGGTCTGATATAGCACTGGTTTCGGTTTTGGCCAAGAATTTTCATTTTGTTGTATCTCTAATTACTGACTGTAATTGCAGTATCCAGGTATTAATAATCCAGAGCTACTATTTAATGCAGCATAGTATATTAGTTGCCAGTATAAAGTGCTCCCCTACATGAGAGACTTAGCAGACTAAAAACAAAAATTCAACTTAAAATATTACTTAATTTGCCAACAACTAAATTAACTAGTTTTTTTCAGCTCAAATACTTGGAATGAACAGTTTTGTTAAGTTGAATAATCTAATTCAGTTTCTTGGGGCCACATTTTTTTAGGTTGAACTGACAAACCACCTTTTACAGTGTTGTTTTAGAAACTTTTGGAGTTTTCACTTTAAGCGTTTTGGAGTTTTTACCCGACTTCATTCTAGTGGAAAGCAAAGGAGAGATCAACCAATGCAAAATTAAAGGTGCTTCTTAGTGATAGCCACATGCTGACCTCCCAAGCTGAAGGTTGGCATGGCGATCAGTCTCGTGAGCTTAAAATGACATTCTAAACTGTAGCTGAAACTCAGAGTATCTTCAAGTAAACAACTGTGTTATTGTTGTTGTTGTTGTTGTGATGAGAGGAAAGCAGGCCCTGCAGTAATTAGTTACAGCATTCACAGCTTGACTTCCTGTGGTTTCTCAAATATTCCATTAAAAATTACTGCACAGTATCACAGGACTTGGCATGCAGCGTGTAGGGTTTTGATGTGGTTGGACAAAACGTTTCGAAGCCCCGAGCCCATGCTATCAGTTTATGGCCCTGTGATGGACAGTGAATAGCAGCCTTTATCCTTCCCATCTAAATTGCCTTCACCTTCCTCAGCATCTGTGAGGATCCTGACACGACTTCAGGCTTGGGAAGTCTTTCAAGTGACAGACTGCCTTGGCGAAGTAGCTTAGCGAAGCACAACATTGAGTACTTTGTTGTGTGCACCTGCAGCCACTTGCGTGTCATTTTAGGGGGTGGGGGGGCCAGCACTGAGTGCCTGGCTTAACTAGAGTGGGATGATTGCTGCCTTGATATTTATCTGTATTGGACTACGGGCTTTATCATGTCATGTGGGTCGTAGTTGTTAAATGATGAAAGAAGATTCCGGCAGGGCCTACTACGGGTTTAGCCTAACCCTTAAAAGGGGAATTCCACCTATTTTTCAAAATTTCTGCAAAATGAAATTCAGAGTAAATTGGTGTGAAAATGCTTTGTTCTAAAGAAATTTACTGAGAATTGTTCTCAGTGGTGGTGATAGGAACCAGATGTCTGAAGCGTTTAATGCCTCTAAAAGCTCCTTCACAGAAAGCTATTATGCAAAATATGCTGTTCAAAGCATTGCTTTATGAAAGTTTTGAGAAGATTTCAGGGCTAAAATGTGTTTTTTAAATCCATACATTTCAGAAAGGGTGGTGCAAGACAAAAAAAGTCACTAAAGAAAACTTAATTGTTCAGATTTCCCACTATTTTTGGTATTGGATAGGAAATAAAATGACCATATTTATGTTGACAATCCCTGGTTCATATTAACACCACTGTAAAAATGTAGCAAGTCAGCAAGTTTCCCTACAGTAGCTACATTTCCATGCAGCCTGATAATCTGTTAATAATCCGACTAATAGCTCAATCAGAATAGAATGCATTCATGTAAACACGTCAGACGGAATAGACTAGTCCAATTGAGGCCATTCAGAATACAATTTCTATCCGATTGATCGAGGTGGGTAATCCTGTAAATAATCCATTAAATAGAAGAATAATATCCGTGTAAACACCTGTATCTGATTACATTCCCAGTCAGAAAGTTTAAGTACGTTCTGATCATGTTCGTCACGTCATAGTGAAAGTTTATACCATTCAACATGGCGGAGCAGAAACTGGTCTGCAGAGGAGACGAAGTTTATGCTCTGATCTTTAAAAGACGGCGGTGGGACGGACGTCCAGCTTATGTGTCTCAGAACACGACGTCTTCCTCTCGGCCTTCTTTAATAACGACATGTGAAGGACGTTTTCCTGAGTCTGACATCATTTTAAAGCAACTAAAAACACAAGCGCTGCTCACTGCTGCTCATCTCACTCTGACTGGACTCAGCACTGGCGTAATGCTGGTTGTCATGGTAACGTCTACACTGAGTGGTTCTCTATGCATGCGCGTAATTTTGGATCGGATTACTTGTAGTGAGCATGTAAACAGAGATTTTCCATCAGATTGTTGAGTAGAGTGAGCATAAACACCTCAGTCTGAATCTATAATCGGAGAGTATTCAATCGGATAGGCAAAAATCTTTGCATGTAAACACAGACAGTGAATCATTTGACAGTAATTGACTCTGCATTACATCTCAACAAATGAATTATGCAGAAATTTTAAAAATGTTTTATTGCCCGCACAAAAAGCAGTCGTGTCTGCCTTTTAATCTGCTCGTCTCGTGTAAAAATATCATCTCTCAGTGCTGGTGTTGGATTCATTTTGATTTTATGTGTCACAAATTACCTTTTTAAACAAGCAAACATATGAGTAGGAATGTGTTGATGAAACAGGTCAATAATAAGCATTTCCATAGTGATGTGAATCGCATGTAGAATGTGTGCACACACTCACTCAGAAACCATCACAGTGTATCCAACAATAAAGGCAGCAGCTTATTTTATACAGTGATAGGAAACATGGTGGCGCACAGAAAGCTCCAGTTTCACATACTGATTCGTTTTACTGACTGACATCAAAGGCTGAGTTAAATGACACACCAACGTCATGGTAATAGTAACTTTACATTTAGCTCCAGCCACTGTAGGGATAAAAGCAGTTTGGTAGCGTGTGAACTGCAGTAAAGCTTTATTTGCATTCTGTGGGTGAGGAGCGTCCCTCACTAACTTTATATGGAATGGAAACGTACTGTACTCTTATTTTAGTTTCGAAAGCAGAGTTATGAAGTGGACATGCCAGTGCATAGCCAACAACTTTAAATGTGTATGAAATGGTCACAACAAGCTATTTGAATTTCAGGATAATGAAGATGGGACTTCCAATGAAGGCATCTTTGTATCAAAGATTGTAGAGAACGGGCCGGCGGATCAAGAAGGGGGTCTTCAGATTCACGACAGGATAATGGAGGTAGGTGTGGCGGTGTTATTAAACGTTATACTCTCTCTCACTGTGTGAAAAATGTCCAAAATGATCAAAATAATGTTGAACCAAGGAGCCAGTTACTAAACCAGTTACTCAACCATCTAATCTAATAAGAAGCTATGTTATACTGTAATAGTTACAGTATGGCTTTGAGATGACACAGTCAGTGACTTGCTCCAGTTTATACTTAGGCTGCCCAGCATAAATGAAGGTGAAATGTGAATATTACACAAGCCCCCACCCCTCACCCTCCTGGCTGTGCTGTGTAACTGAGTAGACATCGTTTACTGACTTGAGAAAGCTCTCTCTTACCTCGAAACAGAATCTAGTCTGTTTCAAAAGGCCAAGAGTGTCTGGAGGTCACTTTTTAGGGTGTATAGAAAGTTGAGTCTACAAAGGTTGCTTTTATAGTTTCATGAAACCTTAGTGTGTAACAATGGATGCATTGAATTAGTGTTATAAATGTGTTATTCTACGCCTTACGTTGGTGGCCTGGGGCTCTATAATTGTTTAGTTAAGTTAATGTAAATATTTTTACTATATGCAGTCGTAGCGCTGTCCCAAAGGACTGGGACATTCCACTGCAACTTTAACTAGGCTTTTTTTTTACTTTTTTGGTCATTACATTTTAGGGAATTCCTGCCTGCTTCAGTGATATATGAAGGGTAAAGAAACAAAAATTGTAAGAGCACCTCTAAATTGTAGTCGCTCCCACATGAAGCAGTCTTAAATCCCGCTGTAAGTTCCTATATGCTGTAAGCCCTGGCGACGCTGGTCTGAGCCACCAAAAGCGACAGCAATCCTGTCGGCGCCTGGCGACTTAAAGCCACTAAAGGATAGGTTTCAGAGTGGGTTTCATGGGGAATGAGTGCCTGGACGAAAAGCAAGGTTTAGGAGTCTTGTTAATGTGCTACATAGCTGCTTTACAGCTCTAGAGCCAGACACAAGGCTTTGCTTTAGCTTCTTTGTTGCTCTATTAGCTCTCTGATTATTTCAGTTGGTGTTGAATACTTAGATATAACAGTGATTTACTGTTATAGTAGACATATGATGTTTCTATCGTCGTGCTTGTGCTCTTGCTTTTTCCTTCTTCTGTAAGCTTTGTGTGATAATTTGAATGGATGATATTGTAGATAATAATGTCTTCAGATGTCGTTAATTGCGGTTAGTTGGGTAGTTAATGGGTAGTTATTTTCATTTTGATGCCTACACTCCTAAAAATATGGAGCTGAGCTTCATGCTGAACAACGTTGTGCAAACCTCACCCTCACAAACTGACCCTCCCAATGATGCTTAAACTAAACTAATCAGTTTAACCATTGCTCCACCTGTTTGCCCCGTTGTGTACTACAGTACCTTATACTAACAATGTTTTGCTATCCGGTGTTGACCAGAGGAGGATGGGTTCCCCTTCTGAGTCTTGGTTCCTCTCAAGGTTTCTTCCTCTTGCTCTTAGGGAGTTTTTCACTGGCGACCCTCATGGGGACTTGGACCCGGATTTCTTTATTTAATGCTGATTTTTCTGTAAAGCTGCTTTGTGACAACACCTGTTGTAAAACCTCCATATAAATAAACTTTGCTTGCTAAGTTCTTGAAAAATGAGCGTGTCATTTAGGTCTGGGACAATTGAAATTGAGAAATCAATAAATCGAGACGATTTATTGAGACATTTCCTCTTTTCTTTCATTGTTTGAAACCACAAGTATCATACAGTTACACAATATAGGTAGAACAGTTCCCATTTGTGTCAGAGGGGGTGACAAAACCTCCCCATGGTGTTTACTGAACTTTTTTAGCAGAATGAGCTGTTAACCATCTGCATCTTTGAGTTGCGCTGACTAAAAGACAAATTATACCTTAGTCACTGTTACTACTCAATGAACCTTTTCTTGCGTCTGTGTTCTTAGTGTTAAAAAACACGTTGGATTTAATTGGAGAGGGCAGTTCTTCTTGATTCATCCACTTCATATATGGAAACTAAGTTGCGGCTCATTTTGAATAATTTTTTTTTGTGATGTCACAAAAACCAACACATTTACAGATATCAATTTATTCAGTCCATTGCAGTTTAGCCCCGTCCATTCATGCTAAAATTGTGTTTCATCCTTGCTTTTAGAATCAGGCACAGGGCAGCCTCAGTGGTCCTTTACATACGTCAGTCTTAGACCCTGTAACAATAACGGATAAGAAGAGTTTGGAAAATGGTCACGTAAAGTGAATTATCCACACAAACGCCATTAGTGGACCCCAGGGGGAAAAAACATAATAGAATATAAGATATATAGGCTTTTTAATAGTGGATGCTTGTAATAGTTTTGTTTTGTTATGAAATGTGTATGATAATGTGAGCAGACGCCATTATATAGTTGTGAATCGTAATTATGATGGATGGATAGTCATCGTTTCGTTCCCATGCAAGAAAGTATTTTGCTTTAGGATGCCACTAGACCTACATCCTTGTTGTTTTTGTCCTTGTCTTTTGAGTGATTCAGGCTTTAGTCACTGGGATTATCAGGAGAAAAGGAAGGAACAGGACACGCAGCGCCCCGGGTCCGTCCAGCGTTTATTGAGTGGCTCTCTAAAACACGAACTAAAGATGGACCTGCTGTAATGAATCAAGTGCATCCTGCCCACAGTGTCATACCGTGACAGTATAAAAGTGCTACAAGCTTTTAGATTGTAATCTTCAGAAAGTTGATATGAGACTTGTATACTTCTGGTGCCTTCAGGAGCTTTTTAAATGCTCAAAATTGCCCCAGTTTTTAAACCTCTGTAATGGCTTCTCTGCCTTTTGAAAAAGGCATAATTATGCTCTTTGTTAGCAGCCTTTCAGCCTTGAGCTTGTTCTGTGCACTGAATTTGGGGAATTATGTGTATCTTAGCTGTGTTTTAGCACTCTGGGAGACACCGTACACAATCTCTAATTACCACGTCTTAAGAAATGAATTTCTTTGGAAATTTAATCAAGGGAGGGAAATTAATACCAAATAGCTAGCGGCAGTTTCTTTCTTTCATTTCTTTCCGTCAGTTGTATGTAGTCAAACCAATAGCCCGTGGTCCTATCCTGATCTTTTCCCATGCAGAGAAGGAGGCACAGCTGGAGTTTGCATTTTTAAAATCTGTGCCACCGGATTCTTACCACTCTCTCCCCTCTCCCTCCATCAGCACTTTCCCTCAGGTTCACTTGGGGTCCTGGTTCACCTCCTCTTTCCTCCACCACAGTAGAATCAGGCGCCTCTTTAATTCAACTGCTGCTTTCAGAGTTGTTGTATTTAGTGAGTTATAGTTTGATGATGAATATGGATTATTATTTTTTCCATTGGTGCCACAGTTTTAACTGTAACACTGAAGTAAGTGTAGCTGATAAAGCTAAATGCAGGATCATGATATTTTTTCATCAAGTATTTATTGTTCAGCATTAATGGTGCCTTTACAGATGTGCACGTCACCCAAACCATGTGCACTAATGCACCCCTATACCATGAATACTGGGTTTTGAACTGTGCACTGATAACAAGCTGAGTGGTCTTTAGCCCGGAGGACACAGTGTCCATGATTTCCAAAAAGAATTTCAAATGTTGATTCGTCGGACCACAGGACACTTTTCCACTTCACCTCAGTCCGTTTTAAATGAGCTCGGACCCAGAGAAGGCAGCAGCGTTTCTGGGTCCTATTTATATATGATTTCTTCTTTGCATTTTAGAGTTTTAACTTGCATTTAAGGATGCCGTGATGAACTGTGTTCACAGACAGTGGTTTTCAGAAATGTTCCTGAGTCCATGCAGTGATTTCTATTGTAGAATCATGTTTTTAATGCAGTGCCGTCTGAGGGCCCAAAGATCACGGCCAGCAAATACTGGTTTTTGGGCTTGTCCCTTGCATACAGAGATTTCTCCAAATCAAATCTTTTAAATTATTATGTACCGTAGATGATGAAAATGTACATGTACTATTTTCAGTTAAATGTAGGGTTTAAATGATTTGCACATCATTGCATTTTATTTTTTTTTACATTTTGCACAGTGTCCCAACTTTTTTGGAAAAAGGGCGGTGGTGAGTAACATTTGTTTATTTAATGTTTGGTAAAAACACCTTTAGAGGGTGGCGGTGAGTGACGGTTGTTTAATTGTGTATTAAGACAACTTATGTATCAGTCTGGCCACTTTGTACTAAAAGCTTGTACTAAAATATAGTTAAATCAGAGTGATTTATATGGCAGTAATCAGGCCTGTATTCTTCATTGTTCTGAAGCTCTGTATCTGTTGGGCTGATTTGATACCACTAATTCTGACTGTCACGTTGCTGAAAGTGGCTCAAAGCCAGAGGTGGTGAATGTGATGCTTAGTCAGAGTGACGCAGCGTTGGAACAGGTGTGTTCCACGTTTCAGCTCAACAACAGAGTCCAAAGGAAAAGCTGCAGGAGGCGGCTATGACATGCAAAATGGGTTATAATTGCCTACAGTCATGTGCCACATAAACAGCTTCAGACTGCGTGCTTTTCTGTAGAAAAGCTGCATCTTGGTTGCATCATCTTCAATAATCAGTACAGTTCGCTCCGAAAAGCACTGAGTTTGTTGGCTAGAATGTGTAAAGTTATGTCATAATGTAACCCAGGCTTCGTGCACATGTTCTTGACAGCAGCGGTTCTGTGGAACACATGCAGTTCAGGAGAAACGCTCTCCATGCATCATCCCCAAACAACTTGCCGGGAGGACCATCCGAGCCTTACGACTGAGCTCAAATGAAAAACAGCTGCCTTGCTTCACGCCAAAACAAAAAAACAAAAACAAACAAAAAAAAAAAACAAAGCCCTTAATTGCGAACATGTATTTGTGAGAAATTGAGAAAATCTCTGAGAAAGCTCTGGAGTCAAACTGCCGCAACGGCCGCAAAAAGGTTACGTGTACATACATAACACGTTCATAAGGATCCAAAACCTCTCCACAGCATCCAAAAAGGAGGAGGCGTTTAAATGGCAGATGTCC